CATGGGGCCATCTGTCCGTGCCGCTGTCCCTCTGTCTGTCCAGCTGTGCCTCGTCCATGTGTCCCTGCGGCTCCCAACCATCCCGCTGTCCGTGTGTCCATCCGCACGTGTCCCCGTCCATCTGTCTGTCCCAGACCCCCTCCCAGCACTGCGGGGGGGGACAGAGCAGGGGCTGCACGGACAGACGGACACTTGTACGGACAGAGGGACAGTTGGGTGGGTGGATGGACATCCAGAGGGACACACGGACACGTGCACACCCAGACGGACACCTGTACGGACAGACCCCCGCCAGACACTCGTCTCCCCCACCCCTTTGCATAAATGCCCTAAAAATGGACTTTTTTTCCCCAAAGGCCCCACTCCCAAAGCAGCAATTTACACCTCCACCCACCCCCCCGAGGGCAGGATCGGGCCCTTGAGCCCCCCCGTCCGTGTGTCCGTCTGTCCGTTCTCCATCCGTGTGTCCGGAGGCAGAGGGGGCCTGACCCAGCCCCAGTGCGGGGGATGGACACACAGACAGACACACAGATGTTGGGGGGCTCAAGCGGGTTTTGGGGCAAAAAAGTCCCCTTTTAGGGCATTTCTGGGGGTGCCCGATGAGTGCCCGTACACGGACGAGTCACCGCTCTGTCTGGACGTGTCCATGTGTCCCTCTGGATGCGCGACTGTCCATCCCCCATCCGGACCTGCCACCGTCCCTGTTCCAGTCCAACATGACCTCCTTGTGTCAGTCTGTCCGTCCATCCATGCCCCCGTCCGTGTGTCTGTCTGGCTGTCCCACCATCCATCCCCCTGTCCATCCATCTTGTCCCACCATCCATCCCCCATCTGTCTGTCCGTGCCCCACTCCGTGTATCTGTACAGCCATCCCCCCGTCCGTCTGTCCGGCCACACATCCCACCCTCCGCGCTGTCCGTGTGTCCGTCTGGAGCTGCACCCACACTCCCCCCTGGGTGGGGAAAGGGGACGATGGATGGACAGACGGACGCACGGGGGTGCACAGCCAGCTGGACACGCAGACAGTTGCCTGTCTGGACAGACAGACGGACGGGTGTCCATTCAGCCCCACCCCACCCAGTGGTCAGGATCGGGCCCTTGAGCCCCCTCCTTCTAAATCTCCTTTTTTTACTGTATCTTTCTGGTTTTGACCCATTTTCAGCCCCACTGGTGGTGGAGGGAGGGGTTTCCCTCCCACGCGCAGGCTGCGGCGGGGAAAAGCGGTGAACAAGGTGAAGTCCGGCTCTTACCCCAAGGCCGGTGCACGTTCAAATTTGGGATTTTTTTCCCAGATCGTTGGCGCGTATCGAACTTAAAAGCAGAAAAAAAGTCCCCACTTTGCTTTTTCACCAAATATTTACACCGCGCAATGGAAACCGAACGGAGATTTGGAGTTTGCTGAAATTATCTTTTTTTTTTTCCTGATTTTTTTTTTTGTTGTTGTAAACGAGAGATTGGGGATGAACACGGAGGAGGGGGAACCCCCAAACTTCCTTCACCCACCCCCCACGCCCCCCCACGCTAAATTCGCGAGCGGCCGAGGGAGGAGACGCGGGCGCCCAAATGTTTTGTATTTTTTAATAAAGTTTGTAATCCAATGGACACACAAAACAAAACTGCGCTGAGAAAAAAAACAAAACAAACAAACAAACAAAAAAATAAAACAAAAAAAAACAAACAAAAAAAACCAGTTCCATAAATTAATAAGTGTTAGGGAAGGCGAAGGGGGGGGGAGGGGCGGCGAAAGTCTTTTGTACAAGTGTATAACACTTCCACAGCTCGTGGGGGGA